AGTTAACGTTGAATATTATTTATGATTTTAACTTTATACATACTATACTATAATTAAAATGGGTGTATTTAAAATGAAAGTTTATATAACCTTCACATCTTTTTTTTTTTTTATTTTACGAAAGAACAAAATTCAAAGCTTGTGAAAAGGAGCCAAAACAAGTTGGCAATCAAAGCACTTACGAATTGTTAGCTACAGCTCATTCTTGGTTTACGATGTTCAAGTTACTAGGTGTACAACATTATTGGCTAAGTTATATGTGTTTCTAGGTTTAAATGTAGATAATAGCCTGTTTTTGTGATGGGTCTAACTTACTTATTTTACAGAATAATGAGGGCGAATAGTATTTTAAACAACGTTAGGTCATTTACTCTGAAAAAAACTGACCTCTGAACTGAAAAAAGTTCTTGTTGTAAAGATATAGGCTTAAGTATGTCCAACTTGTATTTTTGAGTGTGTTTTCATTCTGAAATTCTAAGCTCGATTAAGTAAAATGTCAACCAGAGTGATTGTAAATAAAGCTTGGAAAAGTCCTTAACTTACACATATAATTGACTGACTTCTAACATATACTTGCCGAGTACAAACTGATTTATCTATAAAGTAAACAACCAGAAACTCCCACGTTTCTCGCTGAATTTAAAAAAATGAATGATACCGCATAAATTCTGGGAAAATTCAACCTGAGTGCAATTTCTGAAAAATAGTGGAATAAAATATTTTAACAATTCATTCGCTCGATGTTAATTATGATTTAGAAAAACAGAAGAAAATCAAACAAACACCATAGTAGATGTATGTCCAGCTTCTTAGTTGATCTTTATTATGTGATTATATATAAATACTTTTGTTTAAAGGGAAGTGGGAGTCTTTTGATGTAACATTGAGACAAAAAGAAATCAATAACAATAACCGATATTTTAAGTATTTTCATTCACAATGTGAGAAGAAAAAGCTAGTACACAAATCAATAGCTCTATAAAGAGGATTATTTGTATAAAATGACTCATTATAAAACTGGTTGTAAATTAATTTCTATAAACACATTTTAAGTTATTTCTAACACGAAATGTATAAAGATTATTTATATAATTTGTTTGTTTGTATTTTAAAATTCGCGTAAAGCTATTCGAGGGCTATCTGGGCTAGCCGTCCCCAATTAAGAAGTGATAGACATTAGGAAAGGCATCTAGTCAACATTACCCACCGCCAACTCTTTGGCTAGTATTTTGCCAACGAAAAATGGGTTTTACCGTCACATTATAACGCTTCTATGGCTGAAAGGGCGAGCATGTTCGATAACGGGATTCGAACTCACGACACGCAGATTGCGAGTGGATCTCCCTAACTTAAAATAGAAGCATCTTTTTATTGATTTAGGTGTTTACTGTGTAAAATTCTTTGCATTATTTGATACAAAAGTGGCATGTTTAATCCATTTCTACAAAGTAAATCACCGAAATGAAATAGATATTTCTAAGACTTCAACACAAAAATACGTAAAAATGTTTTAATCTGAAAAGCTATATAACGGGAAGCCAACTTATGACCTAATTAGCGGATACGAAGATGAATAAACAATACCTTATAGAATCATAGTTTAATAAACTAGATATTAGTTGCAATGTCACAAGCAAAGAAATCAGTTTTTCATGAAACGTGAGATAATGTACATATTACTTTCCGATATTACTAACCTCCAGCGACCTCGCACTGAAGTCGAAGTGAATCACCTTCATTGTATGGTCCAATCAAGCTCTGCTGAGATTGATGCGTTTCATCTCTTATTATTGGCTTCTTTGGAGGAACTGTCATGAAAAACAACAGAGAGAAAACATGGAATAAATTGAATAATGAATAAATTAAAATAGAGACGCGTTTATACGATTATATTTAGGACTACATTTCTAGAGAAAACTATGATTGCAGCATGAAATTTTAAGCAAAAGTATTCTTAAGACCAACTATTTAGATCTACTGAAACTTAATAAAGATGCATCATGGATTGTTTTCTTTGATTTAATATTCCATTTACTTGTCACTACAGTCGTTTTATAATTTATTTGAAATTTATAATTTAAACTGGATATTCTGTTATTGATTCAGTTTTGATCTGCTATATCGCCGGCCTGACTTGACCAGGTGGTTTGTACGCTCGAGTCGCAATCTGAGAGTTGCGGATTCGAAACCCCATTCCACCAAACGTGCTCGCCCTTTCAGCCGTGGGGGCGTTATAATGTTGCAGTCAATCCCACTATTCGTTGGTAAAATAGTAGCCCAAGAGTTGGCGGTGAGTGGTGATGATTAGCTGCCTTCCCTCTAGTATATCACTGCTAAATGAGGGACGGCTAGCGCAGTTAGCCCTCGTGTAGCTTTGCACTAAATTCACAACAAACCAAACTGATGTTTCTCTGGGATGAGTGACATGTTGTAGGGAAGGTTGATATTTCATTGCTGCTAGCGACAACATGCTCATCAACCTTGTAACAGAGATAGAGTTCGACACATATTTGGATAAGTTAGTGTTTAGGGTAATTGAATTTAGGGTATGTTGTTAAAACTCACAATAAGAACTTCCCCGTTTTTACCATTTAATTTATACTTGTGAAAACTAACACTTTGTTTTTTTTTACTGAAAAAGTAAGTGTTGAGCCCAATCTCTCATCGATTTACTGTTTTTTTCTTCCAACAATGGTTTTATAGATTAAAAAAAAGCTGGAAGGAAAAAGACCTAACAAAGAAACTTGGCAAAACTAAGAGAGCAATGTTCATAATACAAACCCTTTGAATCTCTAGACAAAAATATATGAATAATTAAAAGTACATTATTGCTAGAAGGGGCGTAGTTTTAGTTTCAGATGTGTGCTTACGTTTCTTTTTACTTACAGGGACATTTTTCTTATCTCTAGTTCTTAAAATGTCTTTTTTTCACTTAATTCTACGTTATTCTATAAGTCTGTTTGTTTCAGCTTAAAGTTACACAATGAGCTATCTCCGTCCACTGGGGGGGGGGGGGGCGAACCAATTTTAGTGTCGTAACTCCGTAAGCTTGACGCTGACTAATCGGGGTACCTTTTATACGTAAATATTAAGTTTTTGATGTTTTATGTTAAGATTAAAATATAATCACAAGTAATTTACATTCTATAATGCTCACTGATAACGTATAATTAGGATTATAATTATAAGTAAAAGGGTTAAATTATCAATTGCCAGCTTGGTATAATGGATGCGTCTAAATGCGCCCTCACATCCATTGACTGAATTTTAGTGCGTTCACATCTTTTTAATCACAATAGCTCATAATTATCGTTAACTTCTGATTAAAACAAACTGTCTGCATACACCAGAGCTAAACGTTAGCCCAGTAATGAATATAGCTAATTTAATATACTGGTCTTATTTATAGCGATTAGAGCGCATTAATTTATTAGTTATAAATATCTATAAATAAATAAATATCTATGTAATAAAGAGGAAAATATGTTATTAACATACATGGAAACATTCCGATACACGTGGTAAACTTACAGACTGAGTAACCAGGAGTAATAAATAAAGAAATCCCAAGAATTAACTGAAATGTATAAGAGATAATAAAATACGAGAAAGATAACAATAATAATTATACTTAAACAAAGAAGTAGCAACAATTGTATGTGTGACAATCAAAGTAATTGTCAGAAACTAATAGAAGTGAAGTAATACGAAATGTTAATCCACATCATAGGGGACTGTTACACAGCTTGTATTAATTTTTGTTTGTTTGTTTGAA